TTTTTTTTTCATATTTTTTTGCTGAAGAAACTCTATGGATCATTTATTACGATGTTTGTGCGGTTCAGAAAAGAATAGGAAGAACAACTGGATTAGTAGTACCTGTCGTAAAAATAAAACATGATCAGTTCGTAAATGAATAACTGTTGACGATTGTGAATCAAATGCGGAACTTCGTGAGTGACCCGGACATCTGGAAAAAAACAAAAAATTTTTTTTTAGAAAGATCAAAAATTTGAATAGTACCACTACGTATAAAAGAAGCAAGCGCAGAGAAGTGGTCCGAGTGATAGCATGCGTCAAAAGCAACCATGCGCTGGCAAGGTTGTCAGTGGCTTCCTTTTTCGAGAACTGTCCAGAAGCAAACTAAATGGTAGACTTTTGATTCCCTGGCATGCGCTAATATCAAATGGAACAAATCGTTAAGGGATTACTCTACCAATAAAATCGAACTTTCTACCTTAAACTGATTCTGCACCATTTCGTTCTAACAAGCCAACCTCTGAAAGATGCAAGAGAATGTTCGCGAGCACAATTTACTAGCCTGCAGAAATCCCATTCAATCTTATACGGTCCAGTAAACCGGAACTCCAAATTTCAGTTTTCCTAATTTACCGCCTTCGTAGCCCCGCTTATTTTTACGAGGTTTTACAGACAATAAGTGGACAAAAACTTTTTTGTTCGGTTTTCCAGGTGTTCACAAATCCATTCGTATTGCAGCGAAAAAATAAATAAATGGCCAGCGCACCGGCTATCGGTGCGAAAATGTGTTTTTTGCATTGTCCCCTCGCAGACTGATGTTGACATGTTTCTAGCTTAAAAAATTGAGACCGGCCGCCAGGACTGTCAGAAAAGCATCCCTTTAAAATTTCAGCCTTCTGGCTTTCCTGATTCCCACTATGACTAATGTAGAGAGGAAATTTCAATAAGTGGTGAAGGAAACACAACTGAGAACTGTTCTAAGTCAACTGAGAGCTGTTTTAACTTGCTGCAAGTATGGTCAGAGACATTTTTCCGCTTCTGAAATAATAATAAAAAAAAAACTTCATTGTACTTACCCATAAATAGTAGAAATATCTATTGTAACGTCGATCATATCGCAACATAGCTCATAGGTTGCCATATCGACTGGTGAGGAATCGGTTGCAATGTATATTTTACTTGCCACATCGAACAAAAATGCCTTCTCGACATTTGAACCCTGAACAGAAGAAATTCTTACAATTCTGGACATTAATCAATATAATGAGACAGATTTATTTCACGTATTAAATCATTTCCGAGAACTGGAGGATCACTTCGTGAACATATGAACAATCAGACTCTCCGCCAGACTTGCGCTGCGCACGATATCACCGCGCATGACCAAGAAAGCAAAATTCGATGAACAAGACATAATGCTCGTTTTGCCATGCTGGATGTTGCGCAATTAGAGCGACAAAGAAAACGACCACTTGGACTGGTTCGGAAAAGCTGGCGCATATATATATATATATATATATATATATGTATATGTATATATATATATGTATATGTATGTATATATAC